CCCCCCCCCCCCCGGCCCTGTCCTCTTGCTTGTATGAGGACTGTCCCTTGCACCCAAAGGCACCAAACACATTTTCAGAAGCAATTTAGACATTCACCTGAAAACAAATAAAGCCATTGTGATCTTTTTGTTGAAGGCAAGCCATAAGAACTGGAAAGCATTTTCCCTGTTAAGCATGTTGATCTTTACCTGGTATGTGATATCTTTGCATACATACATACATACATACATACATACATACAGCTCAAAACAAAATACTCTGAATTTTCTTTTTGGCATAAGAATCCAAGGGAAAAGTGTCCCTTGAGATGGAAAGCTGAGTGTTAGTTTTTTTTAGTTTTTTTGTTTATTTATAGTTTTGGGGTAAAGTCTCTCATGTAACCCAGGCTGACTTTGAACTACTTGGCCCAAGGAAGATTACTCCAGTCATGTAGCTGGGGCTGCTGGTGTGTGCCATCCTGCCAAGCATTGAAGACTTTCTTCATTTTGTTATCTGCTTGTTATTGCTTATTATACAGCTTAGGTGGCCTCAAACTCTCAGTTCTCCTGATTCAACCTCCCTGTATCCCCATGCCTGGCCCTAAAAGGTGTGAAGAGATCGTAGCTAGCCCCTCCAGTAGTTCTCACCTCTGCCAATACACCAGAGTCACTTGGGGGGAACTTTTAGAAAGTACTGTTCCTAGAACCCACTACTAAAGTCCAATGCAGTTGTCTGGGTTTTCTGCGTGTGAAGATTGGGACACTGGTGGTATCTGATACTGGACATGATTCTGTTGGGCAGCAGAGGAGAAACCACTGCTTGTCTCTCTGGTTCACCAGACTGGTGGTGCTTGAGATCTGGAAAGCAGAGCTGTGGGACTCCCTGGAGGGGTGGGGAGAAGGCAACCTGGGCTTTCAAGTTCCTCATATCATTCATTAGGATTTATTGGTACCTTTTACTGAAATAAATTTAAGAATGGACTTAATGCTCAAGGGTTGGATTGTTTTCTAATTTTATCTCATAATTTAAAGAAGTTTTCTTCTACAATATAATAATGTGTTTTTAAACTTTTGATCTCTGGAAACCTCTTTATTTCCTGCTTGTTCCTTTCTTACTCAGCAATTTTGTGCAAATTTGGGCCCATAAAAGACTAGAGGCTGGAGAGATGGCTCGGCAGTTGAGAGCACTGGCTGCTTTTCCAGTCAGGGCCAGGTTCAGTTCCTAACACCCCATTGAATCTCACACTCATCTGTAACTCCAGTGCTAGGAAATCTGATGGCCCCTTCTGGCCTCCATGGGCACAAATGCACACAAAGTGCACAGACACACATGCATGCAAAACACCCACACACATAAAATAAAATAATAAAAGAGGAAAGGCTGGAGGCTCATGCTTATGTTCATTCTGTAGAGATGAAATGGGGGTTAAAAATAATGCAGCAAAGACAGACCAGAGTAGAATTGATATAACTTGGCCCAGTGTTTAGAGAACTCTTCCTGATGCCATTTGTAAGAATGAGAAGTTAGTTACTTTTTCAACTCTAATGGTCTCTTTTTTCAGGGAAAATTTTCAAAAAAACATTTTCTGTCCAGGATCTAACCCAGGCAATACAAGATTGTAGAAAGCATATGCCCAGGATTTTCTGAGATTGTCCTATTTTAACTATTCTATTTTAATAGTCAAACAAAAAAGTAACTAGAACTCAGAAATGTCTATTTTTTTTTCAAGACAGGATTTCTCTGTGTAGCTCTGGCTGTCCTGGAACTTCATCTGTACACCAGGCTGGCCTTGAACTCACAGAAATCTGCCTGCCTTTGCTTCTCTGAGTGCTGGGGTCAAAGGCATGTGCCACCACCCCCGGCAGAAATGTCAATATTTTGGTGTCTGAACAATATTTCTCAGACTGTAAAGATGGTATAAAATCATTGTTAGCTGTGGTTCACCATTGGAGATAATTACGAGGTCACTTCCATGGTATATGTAGAACCTCTTCAGGGCTCAAAGCTGAAGGAAAGGGTCATTGGTCTTTTTGTTTTGTCTCCTCACATGTGAGGAGGAACAGCTCCGGAAAGCGGGTGACAGCACTCTGCACTCGCCTACCCAAGGTTACTAGTCTCACTAGGGCCGGAGTTACCCAACCTTGCTAAGTCACAGGAAAAGCCTAACCAGAATGTCTTTTAAAAATTAAACAAAATGAACAAGCAAGCAAGCAAGCAAGCAAGCAAGCAAGCAAGCAAACAAACAAACAAACCCAGGTCCTGGATTAAGAGGCTGGGTCTTTTGAACGTTGGGTTTATTTGCTTAATGGAGCAGGATGGGTAGAGTAAGCTGCATGGCAAAACGCTGTTGGGAACGGCCAATCACAACGCTCACTCCCAGAGATAATGGCTTGGGTCACACATTCTGTGCAGCAGGGGCTCAGTTGATTAGTGCACACAGTGTGACACTGATCACTGCCTTCCACATTTTGTGTCTTTCACACCTTCCTACTCACAAACATCCTTGCCATTTTGTTTTTCTGTTTTGCTCAAGAACAAATACTGTTACTTCTGGAAAGGACATCTACAAAAGAGCTCATGCTCCGCCTGTGTATGGCAAAGCCTTTCCCACGAGGAGGGCCCTTCTTCTGCTCCCTTCCCCCTCACACTTTTATAAAGATGACTTACTGAACTGCCAAGTGTGTTACAGTCCCAACCCTGTGTTGCACAGATCCAGCTGCTCACAACACAAGAGGCAATTCAAACAACTGTGACTTGTAGATGTTATGGATTAATAATGAGTCTTCAAGCTCCACTGTTAGCAGTGTGTGACCCTAAGTGAATTTCTAACCAATCTAACCCATATTCTTCATCTAGAAATAGATACAATAGTAGCACCTAGTTATCTCAGATGTGTTGAGTGCTGAGGGACTCCTGTGAAGTCCTTGCTCAGATCTTAGTAAGCATTTAGTAAACATTAACTTATTTTGAAAAGATGGCTGGGACTTTTTCCTCGAAGTCTTAATCTTTTGTGTTAACAGTGGCATTTCCTTTAGAGAGACATTAAACTGAACATTTCCTATAACTAAATATGACACAAGGAGGAGACAACTCCATCCAAGTCCAACATTATGTCCTGATGTCACACTGGTTCTGTGCTTCCCCACCGCCCCACCCCCAGCATGCATCATGTGTCTTGGAGGGTTGTTAGGCCACAGAGCTGGGTGAGTATAGAGCAGTGCTTACATTTCCAGGTGTATGTTTTCTCCTAACACTGAACTTTCTAGTTGCATTGGGCGTGATATCTCTGCTCACACACAGCTAGGTGCTAATTTAGCTTTTTTTAATCTCACAGTGGATACCAAAAACATTTATCATATAAAAAGAAAAAAAGTGAGAAAAATCCAGAACTTTTTCATAAAGATATTTTTCTATTTCCCATCTTAGCTGGTATCCTGCACAGAAATTGGTTGTAAGTTTTGGTTAAAGTGAGAGTGACACATGTGTGTTTTAAGGCTAGAGATCAGTGTGTTGGGAAGTGCTGGATGGCTGTTTCTAAAGAGCAGACCTGTGAGTTGATGGAATTTACCTAAAGAAGTACTCAAGGTCCTTCTTGAAAAGAGAAGCCCTGACCTTCAGAATTTTAAGGTCTAATAACTTGGTAAAAGGTTGAAATCTCTTGTAATTAAACAGGGTTGAATGAATAGTAAGCTCAGAGCTGAATGACACAAAAGATTCATAAATTGAGATAAATTTGGCTGGAGGGGTGGTAGACTGCTTGCTAAGCATTGTGAAAATCCTGGGTCCTATTCTTAGCAACAGAGTGGGTGGGGAAGATAAATTTACTGAGAGAAAATTTGATGATAAAGATATTTAGGATCTGATGAGGGGGCTCAAAGCCAAAGTGCTTTTCAGCAAGACTGATGGTCTGAGTTCAAATTACAGGAGCACATGGTGGAAGGAAAGAAGCACCTCTAAGTAAGCTGTCCTCTGAGCTCTGTGCATTTGTGTGTGTGCATGTGTGCATGGGTGTGTATGTGTGCCTGTATGTGTATGAGTATGTGCATGTGTGTATGTGTGTATATGCATATACATTCACATGCATGTATATGTGTATATATAGCATCCATATGCACATATATAAATGTCATTAAAAATAAAAATAACTAAAAATGTATTGAGGATTTATGCTCTATGTATAGCAGAATGTTCCACTTGAAGTTTTCTTCTCCTTAATCTCCTTACAACAGGAAATGCTAGATGACAGCCAGGCCTGTCCCACTGGGTCACTTCCCAGCTCTGGCTTTAGAACACAGGGTCAGACTAGGGTAGGCTTTTATTGAATTACAACATTTTGCTGCCAGCCTCTTGACTTATAAATCATCCCGGCTTCACTGTCACGTGTAATTAGTGTTTCTTCAAGGTGACTATGGCTCATGTGACCACAGTGAGCAAACCGGGCTCATCCCAGCCCACATTTCACCAAGTGCCTTTTAGGTGGTCAGTCTCAGGCGGCTCATGAAGAGAGACTGAAGGCAGAGTCATGTCACAATTCACAGATGGACTTTGATTAGCTGACCTCTGACAGTGTCGCCACCTGATGAGCCAGGACAATGCCTAATAAAGTTTACTCCTGCAACCTTCCACTGAGCAGAATATACCCAGATAAGCTGGGGAACATTCTTAACCTGCTTCCCCAGCACCTGCAAGGAAGTCACTGTAAGATTAGAAAAGGTAATTACATCTGATAGAGTGATTGACAGCACATTGTTTAAAGAGAGGACTTAATCTGCCCTATTGTGAGAAGGTTAATGGAAGCCCAGGCCACTGGTCTCTCACCTCAGGCAGAATGAAATCTGTTTGATGTGAATGTTTAGAGAGCAGGCAAGGGCTGCCCACAGTCCCAGCACCCACTGGGTACCCATGTGCTGTCAAGCACCCTCATCTAGCTGAGTGCTCAGTTCTCTCTTGCCCTCTCCCTGCTCCTCCCTCCCTAGCATATGCCTTGCTCAGCACTGACTTCACTTTATTAAAATTCTTCTTCACTCTCGAGACTGAAAGACCCTTAAGAGACAGGGACTCATGTACTGTGTATTCCTAGAGTCGAGCACAGATTCTGCCTTGGGACTCACTTCCAGTGTTTGCTGATTTGACTTGAGTTCAGAGAAACTCTTGGTATGATAGGGGAATCTATGAGGTCTCAGGGTGAGCTAATCATAAAAACCCCGAAAGGTTGGAGGAAGAGGGAGTTAACATGGAAGGAGAGAAAAGCTCTAGAGGGAAAGAAATGACTACTGAAACAGAAGCGATCACCCAGTCCAGACTCTGCTTCACAGTCTTGATGAAGACACAGGGAAGGACCATGACTCTATTTTTCTCTACTGTGTCATGAGGAAAGTGCCATGTGACATGTGGTCAGAAACAGTAAATGTATTTCTGTTTTTTTCCAGGAATGAGTATGACACTTTAATGAATCAAGAGCTTGGTATAGATCAAGATTTGCAACCTAAGGACTTTAAAAAATGCACAACATAGATGTACACATAAAAATAAGACATTTTGTATTGTGAAATTCTTAATACATTTCAGAAAAGGCCGCAGTCTTGTTATCCAAAATTAGGTTTTGATAGAAAATGTTCATTGTGACTTTCTCCTCAGCACTTCTCCACTTCCCTTGCTAATGTTCACCTTTTACCTCAGAGCTTGGACTTAATGCGTCCCGTGCTGGGCAGAAGCTCTTAGTCACAAAGACACTGGGGATGGCCCAGTGAGGGCAGAACACAGGTGATGCAAGTGTGCAGAGCACCGTGTGGAGCAAGTGTGCAGAGCCGAGGGAGAAGTGTACCTGCCCCAGCAGGTCCTGGGAGGCCTAGGGCATGCGTGCAAGCAATCCATCTCTCCATAATGTTCAACACAAACACAGATGACTTTCTCTCACCTGTGATCAGTCTCTTTGCTTCTTAGCAAATCCCAAAGAGATGCACAGGACAGCTGAGCGTCCAGCTGCAGGACAGCGGAGGGAACGGGATGCCAGGGTAATTTCTCCTTTTCAAGGGACCACATTAAGGGATGCAAGGCATCCTCTCACACCCAGTGTTCTGTCAGGCAGGCATTCTCACTGTGGGTCATGAGGAGAGTCATCTACATCAAGATCCTCCACCCCAGAGAGGAGGAAAAGGCAAAGAACATAGCACATTCAGGCAGCCCCGAGAAACATCTCTGACGACACTGTCAACAGGGACTGTCCAAGAGCTTGGTGACAGCTGGGCACAATCACCTGCTTCAGGTAGTAAGTGCCACATCATGGGGAGTAGATTTCCAGGCAACTGCTACCCAGTGCCTCCTTGGCTATTTGCAGTAAGCCTCTTACCATTCTTTTACAGACAGTGCAAGTACAAAGATGTCACACTACTCGGAAATCACGAAGCACAGCTGTAGCTGCATGCTTACAGGGTTTGGTATTTTAGGCCAAGAATTTAAAATCCATTCAGTGGTGCTCACTGAGCCGCACAGATAATAAATCCTGGAACGATGCAGAGATTAGCAGGTCTCCTGCTCAAAGATGACATGCAGAGTCACAAAGCATTAAAAAAAAAAAAATCCATGCAGTGATTACTATCCACTTCTGGCTTAGCTAAGCAGAACTAACCTCTTACAAGTAATTGAAAATAGCATTAAAGTTCCTTTTAAATGGAGGTTTCACACCATCACAGATCTGTGCAAAACCCTCTGAGTGTCTTCTGTTCATTGTATGTCTTTGTAGCTCCAAAGTGGCTTTGCAGGAAGGCAGCAGGCTCCAGGAGGCAGCGTCACAGTCTGTTTTTCCCGTGTCAGCTTTCTGTAAACAGGCTCAGTAGTCTTTATATTTTATCAAAATCAGAGCAGGGACAGAGATTTAAATGTCTCCAAACCTGGTCAAGGCATCTGTGGTGTGCGGTGGCAGCCCAGACATGGTGTGTGCGCAGAGCAATCCACAGGAGGATGGCTGAACTCTGAAGGCTGAAAACGAAGGGAGAGGCCTGGAACTCTCACTTGTATCTGCCACAATGGGGCATTGTTAGGTCTGGGCTCCATCAAACAATGGCCTCGATAGGACATAATACCCATTGAAAAGGACAGCTTTGCACCCTGGCTCTCCAGGCACTCCAGCTGCCTCTCCACTTGTTCCGTCTGTGCATGCACACGGATGTGTTTGATTATTGGACCTGCCTGTCACCCCCCATGACTTCACATCTTCGCACTTCTGATGACTCTGGATGGCTCTGCTTGATGAAGTGCTGCATTTGTGAGCACAGTCTTAGTCTTTTTTACATTCCTTGTTAGTAGGTCACAGTGTTTAAAATGAAGAGAGCTTCAGTGACTTCTACCTACACAAATGAGCACAGCCTTGTTAATAAGCAACACATTCATCATCTAAAGCTTCAGTGGTTTGGCCATGCAAAGCATAGCAAAGCTTTTCCTGGTTGTATTAAAATGGGGAGTACACTGTGGCCTCAAGGCAGGTCAGCTTCAGTATGCTTCCCAGTTTCTCCAAGCTTATGATGAGACTCCAGGCCAAACCACTGACTGTATTAGTTGAGTCTTACTCTTATTTATTTATTTTTTTGTTGTTGTTTGTTTGTTTTTTGTTTTTTCGAGACAGGGTTTCTCTGTGTAGTTTTGGAGCCTGTCCTGGATCTCACTCTGTAGACCAGGCTAGCCTCGAACTCACAGAGATCCGCATGGCTCTGCCTCCTGAGTGCTGGGATTAAAGGCGTGTGCCACCACCGCCCCAGCAATATGAATGTTTAATTGTTCTACATGCTTGCCCTCACTTGCTTTTTTTTTTTTTCCTTCCGGAGCTGAGGACTGAACCTAGGGCCTTGAGCTTGCTAGGCAAGTGCTCTACTACTGAGCTAAATTCCCAACCCCCTCTTCTTATATCACAGGGGAAATGTACTTATCTTACTGGAGAACACATTGAAGCCTTCTCCAAAGAATTTTATCTACCAGGGAGAAAAGGCTTATTAAAAGCCTCATAGTATAAGCCTGAGTCCAGTATCAATATCAAGTATTTTAAATTTTACAAGATCATTTATTTTGCAGTTATTTTCTAGGGTGATATGCAAACTGTACTGTCAAATAAATAATGTAAAAAAGTATAGAATATATATTTATTCCTTACAGGAACAATGAGAATACATGTGTGCATGTGGATAATGGCCACAAATTATAGCTAAAGGCAAAGACTCATATTTAATAATAACAATAATGAGATTTACAGCTGCTTAAAATTCCCAAGAGTTTTCTTGTAATGTCAGCTTATTTTATGACTTTGGATAGTAGCTGATGGAATGCATTTCACCTCACTGTTGCAATCCTTATTGCTTATGGCATATTCTTAGTGATGTCCAAACTGTGAATCACACTCCAACCTTTAGGACACCACCAAGGACCCCTGGAATAGACAGTGAGGCCCTAAGATTGGATCATCTTTTCTTCTTCCTGTGAAGTTAGAAGGAGCGAGAAGAAAGCAGTCATTCTGCTCCTGAAAATGCCTTCCATGCATGATCTCCAGAAGCCTAAGCATTGGATAGTCATCACTTATGAAAGGGTCAATTAAGGTATAATTGCTAATTGAAATGCCTGTATCATTAAGTAGACTTTTGCTCAGCTATGGGCTCTACAGACTCATTCATCCTGTTACAGTGGCTGTTGGGCCTAAAATGTGCTTTGTAGGAGCTGCTGTGTCAGGAAGAGTCCCCATCACTGGTCAGGTGAGGGGCATGACAACCTGGGTGGCGGTCAGGGGCTTGCTCTTTTAGTACATGTATGTTCTCACCCAGCTGTCACAATTTAGGTCTCTCTATTTTATGGTGAAAAGAGGTACAGGGAAGTCAAGTTTATGCTTGACTCCCCAGCTTGTAAATAGCAGAGCCAAGATGGGAATTTCTCTTCCAGAATACCATAGGCGCTGAAAAGTATTTGCAAAATACATTTTATATATTTTTGGTTCCTAAGTAAGTCAGACAGGTGGAATTAAGAATCATACAAATATGTCTTATGTAAAAGAAATTTAAGATTTCTTTAGTTTCTTTAGCTCTGACTATGTAAAAGGGCATTTTCCAGGAGATGTCCAAGCTCTGGAGTTAAATTTTCCTCATGAATTGAACTCACCTCTCTTTGTTCTCCCAGGGACTTCCTAAAATCCAAGGTGACCCTGCCTTTCTTCCCTGTTAATAATGGATTCTTCCATTTGTTGCCTTTTGTACAAAACCTTAGGAACTTGGGGCTGAAGTGGGCAGAGTACTTGCTTTACAAATATGAGAACCTGAGTCTGAAATCGCAGCATCCACATAAAGCCTGGGTGTGTGTTGTACATATGTAGCCTCAGTACTGGTGGAGCAGAAACAGGGGACTTGTGGAAATGCCAAACTTAGTGTTCTGTGAGCCCCCTGTCTACAATGGTTGGTCAGGAGCTTCTCAGATGCAAGGTGTACAGATGTTCTGTGATCTCCTTGTCTACAAAGGATGGTCAGGAGCTTCTCAGATGCAGGGCATACAGATCCTTTCACATCACTCCCCATCAGATTTGCAAAGAATAACTAAGGTCTGTGAACTTTTTACCTAGAGGGTGAAAAGATCCTGGCTTCACTCGATTGTTGAAAGGTATGTTTGCTTCTCTGTTGCTGTGATAAAACACTGACCAAATAAACTTTGGTGGAGGGTTATTTGGCTCATACTTCCACATCACAGTCCATCATTAATGGAAGCCAAAAGCCAAAGCAGGAACTCAAGGCAGGAACATGGAGACAAGAACTGTAGCAACAATCATGGAGGAACAGTGCTTACTGGCTCCACCGGGCTTGTTCAGCAACCTTCTTTATACAACCCAGGACCACTTCCCAGGGATGGTACTTCCCACAGTGGTCTGGGCCCTTTCATATCAGTCTGTCAATCACCAAGAAAACAGCCCACAGACATGTTCACAGGCCAGTCTGATCAAGGCAATTTTTCAGCTGGGGTTCCTTCTTCCTATGTGTGTCAAGATAAGACACAACTAACTAGGACCCAGGCTCAAATCTTATACCTAGGGAAATGGAGTTGTGCAGACACAAGATCAGACATAGAACACTCAAGTAGTGTGGGCTTGTTGCAAGGAGGAAGGTTGAGATTGTTCTCCTTGGGTAGAAACAAGTGCTCATCACATCAAATAGTAAGTAATCTTATCCTACCAGGGTATGGATGGCTCGTACTTACTTATCACTGATGTCTAAATGTTTACAAATGCACTCGTGAAGCTAAAGTGAAACATTAAATGTTTGACTAATATGAGTAGATTTTTCCCATCTGTTGCAAGACTACAAAGACTGCTGGTTAACCATAAGGGCAACTGCCCTGCTCAAACCACAAGCATGAAGGGGCTACTGGAGAATTCTGGAGGGTTCTTCTGAAGATGACTTCTGTGCCTAGAAAGAGTCAAAGCTTAGAATGTAAACTCTCCAAGGTCCTGCCATGGAAGAACCATGATGTTTCATGGTCTAAGCTGCCTACACTTGGATTTTCTGCTTACTGCATCCCCTTAAGACTACAATGCTGCCCAGTGGTGGTGGCCCACACCTTTAATCCCAGCACTAGGAAGCAGAGGCAGAGGAATCTCTATAAGTTTGAGGCCAGCCTGGTATACAGAACAAGTTCCAGGACAGCCAAAGCTAGAAACCTTGTCTCAAAAAATAAACAAATATAAAACCCCAAAAAACCAACCAATCAAACAAACAAAAAGAATACAATGTTGTCACATTGTGTCACAAAAAGTGGGCCCCAACTTCTGTTTTAGACACGTGTGGTGTGGGTTCTAGTTGTTTTTGAGAAGGGCAAGAAAGCACAGCTATGATTTGGGAAGGAGGCACACATGTGTATAGAAAGGGCCAGATAATTACTCTTTCAGACTTTAGGGGTTATGTGTTTCTTTCTCTTTCTGATTTCTTTTCTTTTCTTTTTTCTTTTCTTTTTTCTTTTTTTCTTTTTTTTTTTTTTTTTGAGACAGGGTATCTCTGTGTAGCCCTGGCTATTCTGGAACTTACTATGTAGTCCAGGCTGGTCTCAAACTCACAGAGATCTGTCTGTCTCTGCTTCCCTGTGCTGGGACTAAAGGTGTGTGCCACCAGGTCTGGCCATGTCTTCTTACATCTGTTCCACTCTGCCCTTGTGGTTGAAAGTGGCAGTACAGAATAGAGAAATCAGAATGGCTGTCCATACTAAGACTTTATGGGAGCTGAATTCTCTCTCTCTCTCTCTCTTTCTCTCTCTCTCTCTCTCTCTCTCTCTCTCTCTCTCTCTCTCTGTATGTGTGTATGTGTTTTCACATTTGTCTGTGTATGAGGAGGCCAGAGGTTGGTATTTAATGTTGTTCTTCATTGTTGGTGTTCACTTGCTCTTTATCTTATTTTTTGAGACAAAAATCTCTCATTGTACCTGAAGCTCACTGATTTGGCTGCAGTGGCTAGCTAGAGAACCCCAAGAATCCTCTTGTTAGGATTGCAGGGGATCACTAATATGCCTACCTTTTTATGTGGGTGCTGGGGATCAGAACTCAGGTCCTTATGTTTGTGTAGAATGTACTTTACTAGATCTGCCACCTCTCCAGCTCCAGTATGCTGAAATTTTGAGGTCACATAATTTTGAGTTTTCACAGAATTCTTTAGATTGTTTGTTGTGTGATGTTTTGTTTGTGTTCTGACAAATAAAGCGTGCCTGGAGATCAGAGGGTGGAGCTAGCGACTAGTTAACCACAGAGGCAAGGCAGTGGTGGCTCATGCTTGTAGCCAGAGTTTTTCTCTCCAGGTCCTACCAAGTCCTGGCAGTCTCGTAGCCCACTTATAAAATAAACATTTTAACATGTTTTAACATATTTAAACATTATTTAAACTGCTCGGCCATTAGATCAGGCCTACCATTGTCCAGCTCTTACTCTTATACTCAGCCCATTTCTGTTAATCTATATGTTGCCACATGCTGTGGGATGTTCTATATGTTAAATGTGTTGCTCTGATTGGTTAATAAATAAAACACTGATTGGCCAGTAGCCAGACAGGAAGTATAGGTGGGACAAGGAGAGAAGAGAATTTTGGGAAGTGGAAGGCTGAGGCAGAGAGACGCTGCCAGCCACCGCCATGAGAAGATGTTAAGATACTGGTAAGCCACGAGCCACGTGGCAACTTATAGTTTAATAAAAATGGGTTAATTTAAGATATAAAAATTAGCTAGAAGCCTGACATGGCCATACAATTTATAAGTAATATAAGTCTCTGTGTGTTTACTTGGTTGGGTCTGAGCAGCTGTGGGACTGGCAGGTAAGAGAGATTTGTCCTGACCAGATAGGAAAACCCTAGCTTTACCTGCTGTCTTTATATGATGCTCCCTGGACAGCAGGCTGGCATTCTCCTCTCCACCTTCCTGTTCTCTCAATTCTCCTCTCTGATAGTCCCACCTATACTTCCTGCCTGGCTACTGGCCAATCAGTGTTTTATTTATCAATCAATCATCCACAGCACTTCCCCTTTTTCTTTTTTTTCAAAAAGGAAGGTTTTGACTTTAACATAGTAAAATTACATGTAGCAAAACAATTATCAAGCAAGAATTATAGTTACAATATTAAAGAAGATATCCTATCTATCTTATATTTGTGAGTCTAAGGTTTTATATCTAACTTATCTTTTATCACAACTGAGGAAATTATAACTCTAGTCTTCAACTACATCAAAGACCTCAGAAGGATATAATATTACCTGAGAAATGGGAGAAGGACACAAGCAACTTTCGGGAGTCTCACAAGAGTAGATAGAGACAGCTGGCAGCCTGGACAGTCACCTAATGTTTCTTTGTAAAGTTGGGGCATCTGTCTTTAGCCCACAGGCCTAGAGTCTCTCAGTTACTTCTCTCTGTGTCCTCTAGAATGTCTGGCAGTTTCCTCTGTGAAGCAGGAACCTGAAGGACCATTTCACCAAGCAAAGTTCAGTGGTCACCTTCCTATGGGTCCTGCATGTTCAGTTGATCAAGCAGTCCAGGCAAGAACAGTTTCTTGCCCAAATGGCTATTTTTTCCAAGAATAAGATAAACTCCACATAGAGTGTCTTCGATGCCCATCCTCCTCTCTGAAGTAAATCAGTGCTGCCAGGAGCAGACATGTCTCATTGTCCAGAAAGTCTAACTTTTCAAAACATTTTAAATGCTATAATCTGTAGGTCTTTGAAGTATTTGAAGATTACCTACCTAATTGAATTATATCTATGTATACCTAAAAAACTTAACATGACTACAAGTATGATTATCATAGATGACTAATTATTAATCTATTTTTTAATTATCCATTACAATTTTAAATGAGCTGTGCAAACATAATACCTTAAACAAGAGTAGAAATATACATACAGTATAACAAATTTAACTTCAAATTTGTATCAATAAACTAAAATCTATAGCAGTGTAAAACATTTCTAAACAAGTTGTTCTTTAAAAGCAGATTCAATAATCTACCCTTTCATCCTATCATATCTGTATCATATCCTTTTTTATTCTTTAGAAAGACATTGCATTTATAATCAACGTGGTTTAAATAAAAATATTGGTTTTTCTCTGTCCCACACCAGAGGGCTTTTTTGATATGGGACTCAAGAATCTCTTAACATGTCTCTGATCCCAGCACTTGAGAGGTGTACGCCTTTAATACCAGCACAATTGGGAGGTGGAGACAAGATCTCAGGCCCCATTTGGTCTGAGGATTTGTAGAGGTAAGAAGTCTTTTATGGCTGTTGCTCTGCTTCTCTGTCTTTCAGGTTATTAACTGTTGCTAGAGTTTTCCTGCCTTGCCCACAGTCAGGACAAATCTCTGTCACCCGCCAGTCCCACAGCCGCTCAGACCCAACCAAGTAAACACAGAGACTTATATTGCTTACAAACTGTATGGCCGTGGCAGGCTTCTTGCTAACTGTGCTTATAGCTTAAATTAGTCCATTTCCATAAATCTATACCTTGCCACGTGGCTGGTGGCCCACCGGCATCTTCACATGCTGCTGGTCATGGCGGCGGCTGCAGCCAGTCCTTCTGCCTTCCTGTCCTTTTATTTCTCCTCTCTGTTAGTCCCGCCTATCCTTCCTGCCTAGCCACAGCCGATCAGGTTTTATTTATTGATCAATCAGAACAACTTGACATACAGACCATCCCCCAGCACAGCCAAGTGCAGACCATCTCAGACACCTGCACTCAGGCCCATGGTCCTAATCATCCTCTATGCGGACCTGCTGGGTAACGCCACAAAGAACCCAAGAAGGGCTCCCACAGGACATACAGAACATCCCACAGCAATTAACCTGATATTTGACTCCTGGTTTTTATTGATAAGACTAAATAGATCCACACTTCAATTATTTTCAATCATCTATGAAAGAAGGAGTCTTAGCTTGTGGGCAATTCAACAGTCAGAAGATGACTGAGCTGGTCTGTGGGCTTCAGTTTTCAAGGTCTGGTCTACTGTGCAGAATAACCAGTCTTGCAGTATTGTAATATTCTGGGTTTGGAGGAACATGTTGGCCTGAACAAGGGTAACATATAGTGGCTAGACAGAGAGGACTGACTGAGGATATGGCTTCTTGCCAGAGTTGACAGGATTTGGAGGATGCTGAAGAGGGTCCTGTTGAGGAACATTCTCTTTTGAAAAAGTGGATAGAAAATAAAGGAACAGAAATAAGAAGAAATTCATGGTGGTGTGGGAAGAGGAAAATAAGTTTGGATTTGGGATTGTTAAATCTGATATATTGCCAAGATATTCATGTCATGATGCTTAGACAGCTAGAAATAGAACAGACACTGAGACATGGCTTGAGGTAAGACCTGGAAGGAGGGCTGGTGCTTCACCACAACTGTGGTCCTAGCTGCTTAGGCTGAGTAATAGGAGGACTGCTTCAGCCCAGTAGTTTAAGCAACATGGTGGAAATCCCATATGAATAATAATAATAAAAAACCCAAACTAAAAACCAAAACACCCAAACCCCCAAAATTTGGAGTTTTGGAGAGAGAGAATAAATCTAAAGATAAAGCTTGGAGAATCAAATTGTATCACATATAAAAGCCAGAAATTACAGTAATATCTAAGACATTTAATGTCTCCTCTAAAGAACAATGAGGAAGTTATGATACATCATCAAGTATGAGGCATAAAATCAAGCACAGCTAGCTTTAGTTTTCAACCCAATGACACTCTTAAAAATTATTTAAAAAAAAAAAAACCCTCCATACAAATGCTGGTGAATGACAGTGGGGCTGTGCCCAAGCATCATACCTGCCTCCTGGACCAGACTTCTGATTGCTTCACCTTCTGGTTGTGCAGCTCACTGGAAGCCCAGCCTAATTCTGCCATGCAGTCCTAGAGGGATAACTACATAGTTATTACATGGTGGCTCATGCCTGTCATTCCAGGCCTTGGAGGCTGAGGCATGTGTATTTTGAGTTCAAGGCTGGCTTGGGCCATATAATGAGACCATGTCTCAAAAAACAAGACATAAAATAAAACAATCAAAAATTTAAAGTACCATTTTTGTAGAACATGGACTGCTTTTCTATGACTGTAAAATTGAAAAGATTTAAGTTGAAGCATAAATCAGAGGCCATTTGTTCATAGAAAAATAGGTATTTGGTAATACAAGTGTTAAGTACATAGATTCTGTAGCCAAAAGTATGAAATATATCAAAGATGGGTGTTCTCCATCTATCATGCCACATGCCACTATCGTTGTAGATGTCATCACCCTAGGTCAGTGGTTCTCAACCTGTGGCATGACCCCCTTGGCAAACCTTTATCTCCAAAAATATTTACATTATAGTTCACAACAGTAGAAAAATTACAGTTATGAGGTATCAATGAAAATAGTTTTATGGTTTGGGGTCATAACACCATGATGAATTGTATTAAAGGGACACAGCATTAGGAAGGTTGAGACCACTGCCCTAAATAATGCTATTTTGAGAACTTACCCAGAGTCAGAGGCTAGTCTCAGCTGTCTGGATGTTCTTACATCTTTTCGGTGAGTCACCCTAGGAGGGGACAGTGTCCACATGCTCACTCTTGGAGATGAGGCTGCTGATGCCCAGTGAATGGAAGGTGCTGTCCCATTGGAGGCGCTGTACTGACCCAGGCATCTCCCATTAGCCTACCACCCAGTCCTGACAACATCCTGTCATACAAACCAAAGGCATACGTGACATGAACATGTAATTCTGGAAAATGAAAAGCAAATTTTAGTAGGAATAAGGAATAAGTGAAACAAACTCTAGTTATTCTGAGAGATCAACCTATCTCTTAATGAGCTTAAACAATAGCAAAAATCTGTGGAGGGACTCTGGAGATGAAGGATGTGTATGGAAAATTTTTATTGTCTCTAAAAGCAGAAATCATAACCAATAAACAGTGCAATTAAGTTTAAATGTACAATTAAAAACAAGGTAAGGGAAAAGAATGGAAAGTGTAGGCATCTGGCATTTTGAAACTTATCTGAATTATTTCCTGGTTAATTAAGTTTCATATTTTTAAAATCTGATTTATCAAAACTTGTAAATGAAGCAGGGCATGGTGGCTCATGCCTTTTGGAGACAGAGGCAGGCACATCTCTGGGTTTGACCATTCTGGTCTACAGAGTGAGTTTCAGGACAGCCAGAACTACACATGGAAACCCTGTCTTCAAAAACAAAAAAAACAAAAAACAAAACAAAATAAAAGTTAATGGACAGTATATACTTTACATACTAACATCTAGACACAGCAAGTTGAGAGGCATGGTTTTGCTGTTAAATTCAATTGTGTGTATTTGTTTGTGTGTCTATGTCCCAACCTCTCTGTTCTTTCAAGGGTACCATTCATGTTGGATTTGGACCCATTCCAATCCCACATGACTTCATCTCAACTTGATTATATCTGTAGAGAATCTATTCCTAAAACACAGCCTTGCTTATCAACTCTGTGTAGATTTAAAATTTTTTTGCCTATTTTTCAGGAATGTGATAGTTTTAACATTTTCTCCACACAGATGAGAACAGTTATTTTAAGCAAGATGTGGACTGGGGGTGTCTCCTTCCTGTTTTCCTGCATTTCCAGGTGACCTCACTGTGTTCCCCTTCTCAGATCTCAGCCTCTCTTCACCTGGACATGTCAGTCTTCTAGCAGAGCCAATGAGTGCAGGGTAGGTGGAGTTCCAGCCTGTGAATGAAGGGTCATGTGGAAGAGGAAATGATACAACTATACTATAATCTCAAAAATAAAAAAAAATCATTTAATAAAAAAGGAAAATTCCTGGGTTGCAAACCAGGTACAGCAGTACATGCATGTAGTAAGTTTTCTCTTAGGAGGCTGAGGCAAATTATTAGTTCTAGGCCAGCCTAGGCTCCATACAGAGACTCTGTCTGGGGAAAAGAAGTTGAGCTGGAAGTTGGCATTAATTTCTGCCATGGAAATATTTACATTAATTTAGGATACTAAGTTAATAGATAATAGTAACTTTGTTTCTTTCAAATGTAACACTACTGCAGTGCCTGTATTGTAGGTCACTTTTGAGCTGTGTTACAGTTTAGTGATGTAAACCAACTGGGCCAGTGAATCACTTTTTAGTTTTCCTTTTTTTTTTTTTTTTTTTTTAAAGTAAAAGCTGGAGAAGGGAGCCAGCTAAGTTCAAGGCTGTTTAGATTGTATCATTTTCTGGAAACCATCTTAATTGTTTGGGGTAAGAAGTTGAAGGTTTATTTTTATGTGACTCTGTTTTTAGCTGCAGACCAGCTCTAGGGCTTGTGGTGGAAGCCCCTTTGTGTGACACATCCCCTGCTTCATTTGTCCCTGGAGCATAGCATGTGCCAAATCATCACTGTCCTAGGCGAGCTGGCTTTCCAGAGAGAGGAAACATCTTGATAACTCACTGAGACGCTGTATGTCAGAGAGAGAGAGCGTCGCAGCTGCTCAACACCTCACCAGGGCATCCTTAGGGGTAAGGGTCTTCCAGCTTGCCTGGCCAGGGCTGTTGCTCATCACATCTTATTACACAACTGTGCCATTCGGCTGCCATTTTCTCAGACACTTACGCAGTGGTATTTGCTAACGACGTCAATTCTTTTCCTGTCTGACCTCGAAGATTACAGTGACTCAATGTTGGCTAGTAAACCTTAAAGATTAAATCGAGGACATTGGCTTAATGATTTTAGCAGTGAGTGTAAAGGATTTTCCAAGTATGAGAATCAAGATATAAAATAGAATTGAGAATTTTGTTTAATCTTAAAGAGAAAGTAGCACAGCTGAAAACAGTCCTTAGGATTGTATTTTCCTTCCTTCCTTCCCTCCTTCCTTCCTTTTGACAAAGCCTTGCTCTGTAACTCTTGCTGGCTTAGAAAGAACTATGTAAACCAGGTTGACATCGAACTTGGGATTCTCTTGTCTCTGCCTCTGAGTGCAGAGATTATAGGAATGTGCCAACAAGCCCAGTGTGAAGATAGTATTTCTTAAAAAAAATAAGTTTTAATTTCAAGCACATGCCTGCAATCTCAGCTCTTGGGTGGCAAAGGCAAGAGGATCACATGCTCAAGGCCATGCCTGCTCCATGAGACTTTTGTCTGAAAAAGAAAGAGTAAACCGGTGTGCTGGCATAATCCTTTAGTCTCAGGAGTCAGGCAAACAGAAGCACAGGTTAGCTCAGGAGTCAGGCAAACAGAAGTCTGAGTTTAAGGCCAGCCTGACCTACATAGGATACTTTTGGCCAGGCAAGGCTACACAGTGAGAGCCTCTCAAAGGAGGAGTGGTGGAGAAGGAGAGGAGGGAGATTTATATAGAAATTTCTCTAAGGAAGAATCAAAAAGTCAACAAGAAAATGGAAAAATAATTGATATAATTAATAAGGGAAATGTAAAAAGCCATAATAAAATATCACCTCCAAATCATTTGAGTGGCCAGTACCCCAAAATCAACCAACCAAACAGATCTGGAAATAGGAAGCCTTGACTGTGGATCCTACACTTGATCTTAGCCACAAGGCTGAGAAGCGATTGACTGTGGATCCTAACATCATGCAGTGGGATGGTCAAATTGCTAGAAATGGAACTGCTGGAAGATACTGTTCACTAACCAGTTACACTCTACACAATCGAACTCTGTCTGGGGAGGTGTTTTACACCTACGTTTACAGCAGACTACTTACAACATTTGGGAGGTGGGTGGTAGTGGCCCACAAGTCTACAGCAGATGAGTGGAAAGACAAAGTGTGGTGCACACATAGAATGGAAGGACATTTGGATGAGATGTGAGGACAGAACCTGAGTGGAACACGTATGTACAAGAAGATAAACAGCAATGATTTCACCTATATCTAATTGTCAAATCCCTAAAGGCAGAAACAAAATGGTGGACACCAGGAGCTGGGGGCCTGGGAACGGAAGTGAGGATGGAGAAAGTACAGAATTTCAGTTTGCAAGATGAAGTTTAGAGGTGAATAGGGCAGTTGTCGTGTGATAATCTGGACACACTTCACATTTCTGAGCTTCACACTTAATAACTATGGAGATGGTACACAACAACCCCAAAGCATCATTTGTCCTCACAGCACTTCCTCTGCTCACTTCTAGAACTCTTTGTTGCAAATCACCACACTGCTTTAATGATACAAGCAGAAAGAACTCCGTCACAGAATGTGTCAGACTCGCTCTCCATAAGAGCATCGCAGTGACTGGAGTGATGTTGCTCCATCTTCCTGGCGTCTGTACAGAGGTCAGCTCTCTGCTGGCCAGCCCTTCTTGAGGTTTACTTTCTGCTGGAGGGAACTACCTTACCTGAGGCTACACCCTACACAGACTAAGACTGTATTAGACATTTTTTTTTTTTTTTTTGATTTTTCGAGACAGGGTTTCTCTGTGTAGCTTTGTGCCTTTCCTGGGACTCACTTGGTAGCCCAGGCTGGCCTGGAACTCACAGATATCCGCCTGCCTCTGCCTCCCGAGTGCTGGGATTAAAGGCATGCGCCACCTCCGCCCGGCCAGAAGACTGTATTGGGTACAAAGGTACAGTTGTCTTGCTTTTGTGTAGGACAACACAGAGGACCCTCCAGCTTCAGAGTCTCGTGTGGTTCTGCCACGGCCGCTATTTCTGTTCCATTGCAGCTCACATCTTCCCCTGACTGTCCTGATGCCTTGGTTCCTTACATACATTATCCAGGAAAGCCGTCCCCGGCAGCTGCTCACAGGGCCTCTCTTCTGAGGAACTGGTCTAAGTTGGCATGTCCCTATTTGACTGGGCATCAGCTTTTCTTTCTTAGTGCTCCACTAAACAAAAGCCTGACCATTAGTGGTGTCTTAGCCTCCTCAGAAGAAATGAGCATCCATCAAGTGAAAGAGCTGAGGGGAAGGGGAATGCTGATGTAGCCTGGAGCAGTCTGTTTGGAAGGCCTTGTTTTTCTATTGAGTTTGACTTTGTCTTGAAGAAACATAAGTAAATTTTGTTACTGGGAAGATCTGCCATCTGCCTAGTTGAAAGGTGAGACTAGATGGGGAAGAACAAACTTTGGACCTTGGGAAACAGAGTAAGTCTCTAGAGATAGTTTATGGGTACACGTGTACTTTGCATGGAAGCATGTCAGTAGAAATACAAAGGAGTGATGTGTGGACAGGTGGGATCTAGAAGTGTTGGCCACATGCTGACTGTAGGATTTGCACTGGTGCAGATTTCTAGAAAGAGAAGGGCCTGGCTTGAGTACCATGCTTCAATCAACCAGGCTTGATTGTAAGATATACCCATATTTTGTATACTAATGCCCACCCTGTTAACAGTGACTTGTCATAGGTTCTAACACAATGTCAGATAACTAAAAAGATAAAGAATAGGCATATTAGAACTTTACTTGTAGTTTTGAGATCATTTAAGCCAAGTATATAATGTAACACTTACCACAGACAAATAATTTAGGCAATGTAAGAAATTCTGTGGAATAGAATGTGGACATACTGATTTCTAAGCTATAATAAATGGTGAACAGGATCAATGATGCCCAGGGGTTCCCCTTTCAGGTAGGTGGCTGCAGATCCCCACTATGGCTAGGGAGACTGCTGCAAGCAGTCTGTTTCCTACCATGTGGCATCTAACACTAATCATGAATCAAATGTCTATAGATAGAGGTGGCTGGAGAGGGCACATTAGGCAAAGAGAAGAGCAAATGACATTCATATGAGAGAGTAGCGCGTGCGCGCGCGCGCACGCACACGTGTGTGTGTGTGTGTGGTGTGTTTTGTGTGTGTGTGTGTGTGTGGTGTGTGGTGTGGTTCTTGTGTGTGTTGTGTTTTTTTTTGTGTGTGTGGTGTGTTGTGTTTTGTGTGTGTGTATATGTGTGGTATGTGGTGTGTTTTGTGTGTGTGTGTGTGTGGTGTGTGGTGTGGTTCTTGTGTGTGTTGTGGGTTTTTTTTGTGTGTGGTGTGTTGTGTTTTGTGTGTGTGTGTGTGTGTGTGTGTGTGTGTGTGTGTGGTTTAGGCACCAGGACAAACTTCTCTTTTGTTCACCATGAATAAATGCATCTCTACTCTAGCACAGGCTCTCACCAACAGATATTGGGAAGAGGGTAGGCCTGAAGGCACAGGATTCCTGGAATTGGAGTTAAAGATTGCAAGTCCTCTGCAAGAACACACATGCTCTTGACTGTTGAGCTGTCTCTCCAGCCCTAAATGCAATTCTTGAGGAGAATATATACATATAGGCTGGGCACAGTGATGCACGCCTTTAATCCCAGCACTTGGGAGGCAGAGGCTGGTGGATCTCTGTGAGTTTGAGGCCAGCCTGATCTACAAAGAGATTGCCAGGATAGCCAGGACCATTACACAGAGAAATCCTGTCTCAAACAAAAACAATAACAACAAAACAAACAAACAAATAAGGAAAAATCACAGGCTTTTGTTGTGATTGAACATAGACTCCAGGTGTGTGAGATAAGTGTTCTGCCACTGAGCTACAGTTTCAGGCCTAGGATTGGCTTCTGAATGGCTTCTGTGGCCCAAAGGTACTGATTATTCCCATGTTTCACAGGCCATCTTTATAGACTCTACAGTTTTCAGTCCCAATGCTCTTTTCACAGGCTACCAAATTTAACATGGCTCTTAGTGCCCTGCAGACAAAGTCGTGCTGTTATTGTGTGTTATGTACATTATCCACAGCTCTTTCTCACTAACAAAGAATTGTGCCTTAGATAAAATCTTAGTTAACACTCTGGGCCTTTGGAAGACGTCAGACTGCAGG